TGTCTTCCTCTGAAGATCTCCTGCTGTCCGCTCGCCCCATGAGTTTTCTCCCTCTACCATAGACTTTTATTTTAATAACCAAGACAGCGCATTTTGACGTAACTCCGGCTCACCTTGCAGCTCATTATTTGACTCTATGCGGAACCAATTGAAGGGCAAAGAGGAAAACGTTGCGTGTGGTCTCGATGATGGAGTCTCTTCTATAGTCAGATTGGTCTTTTGCCCACGGTGTGCATGCATGACAAAACATTGTGTTTTTATAGAGAGCAAAGAATGGCAGCCATAACAGTGTCTTGTTTAGAATCTATACATACAATTATATTTGTGAAAGTTCGGCACTTTGGCGCCTAAAACTTCCCAAACACTTAATTTTCGAATTTAACCAAATCAATGGTGGTTCAGAATCATTTAAAGGGTGCGCAGTTTTATTGAGGAGCCTGAAGTCACTGCAGTTTAATTTTCAGTTTTTCATTAGTTTCATTTGTATGTAATCTTGGGAAAGTTGGTCTTCTAAATAAGACCGCATTCTAAACAAGTGAAATGTTCGTTCACTAACCGTGCGCACCTTTGAAATTCTGGAGTGTAAAACCACGAAAGCGGAATAGAGAATCAATCCATACATCTTTATATTATCAAGGCCTTCTAATTTTTTGCACCTCTCAAGATTTATTTCTCCATTCAAGTAGAGTGTAAATATAGTAGGCCAATGACTTTCAGTTGATGTTAATGCAGCGATCATTCCTTTCATCAAAAGGGGGTCCAGCTAGTATTATAATAATTCAAGTCTGTGCAAAGAGGTTATATATACAACTCTAGTGATAGTACTTTTTATGACCTCTTTGTGTCTGTGTCATCTAAGCACCGAGAATCTTCCTACTTGGCGCGAACGTACTTAAAGACCCGCGCATAGAACCTCTGACGTAGTTCACAGTTTCGTTTCGTTCCCAAACAAACACTGGAAGCTTCCTGTTCGTTTCACTTCCTGTTTTGCTTCATTTTTGTTTTCAAGTGATCAAATTTCCATTGTACCATTTTGTCATGATTATTACTTCAAAAGATGGTTCCAAACAGTTTTAGCTTCTGCAGCCACCCCCTGCGGTAGTCTTTTGAAACCGATCGTACTTGCAAAAACGAACTTGAGCGATAATTTTCCAGTTGGACTTTAATAAGGAACCCCTCAGATCTCAAATGTTCTTGGTTTTAGACTACGCTCCAGAATCTGGCGACGAAATGGGATGTTGCATTCCGAAACGACACAATCCAGATTTTTTATCACCTGAAGATCCTATTGGAAATGCTGTGAGTGCAGTAACTGTCCAAAAACTCAAGAAATCAGGTCACGCTTTTGCTTTGTGTTAAGCGCAGAAGCAATAGCTTCGAGTTGAGATAATACTTGACAATTGGGTATCATTAACACTGTCAAGACGTAGGCAGTCTCCTTGATTTATTCTGTCTTTTGGAAGATATAAAAAGAACCAGTGAGTTGTGATTGCTTTTGTCTGTACAAGATAACTTGTAACACAACACGAAAACACGAGAGAGAGAGAGAGAGAGGGAGAGAGAGAGAGAGAGAGAG